CGCCTATGCCCACTCGCAACACGAATAGTGGAATACGTAGCGTTGACGCTCAGGACAGACGGATACGTGCGCGCACGGCAAAACGTCGAGCGGCACGCAGGGGGCACAGGCTAGCGAAACAGGTATCGAAAGGAAATGACACCCGGGCCCAGGCCCAGGAACCCAACGCACCCATACAATTGGCGGAGCCGGTGAAATACGGAAACACCATTCGCATTGCATCACTCAACACCAAAGGCATGACAATTGCGGGGAAGCGGGACGAAATCGAAGCTTGGATGCGTAGGAACAATGTCGGGATAGTTGGTTTGCAAGAAACACACATAAACACAAACTCGAAGGAACAAGGCAAACAATGCCACCGATATTTTGCAGGGGAACCCAAAACAGGGGAGGCAACATGGTTCGCAGCAGGAGTGGGGTTTATGATCCAAGAGGAGCACGTGAAACATGTTTTGGATGTGACCCCCGTGAGCGATCGTATATGTACATTGTCGTTGGCGCACACACCGTCCATCCACATTATCACTGTGTACGCACCAACGGCGGAAAGACCAGAAACGGAGAAGTTGGAATTCTATGATTCACTCGAGAGAGAATTCACCAGGCGCCGGGGTGTTGGCCCAACGTATATCATGGGCGACTGGAACCCACGGGTACACTGCGCGACCTCGGAGGAGGAAGCGGCGGTAATAGGCAAACACACGTTCGACCCTGAGAACACCAACCCGCTGGGACGAACTGAGGAATCAGTGTGCAACCGGCACCTCTTCTTGACCTTCTGTCAAACAAATCGGTTAAAAGGCAGCCAGCACATTTTTCCAGAAGGACCACAGCAAACTCGCAACGTACAGGGAACCGGGCACGACGTTAGAAGGCCCATTCATGAGAGGAGCGCACGAGCAGCTCGGTTTCATCGTAGTCATGCAACGATGGCGAAATTCTGTGCTGGACTGCGAGACAGACACATTTGCGAACATCGCTTCAGATCACTATCCACTTACCGCTACGGTCAGGATCAAACTGAAAGCCAATGACAAGTCACGTGGATCCAGCAGAGCCAAATACAGAGAGTGCAACATGCAAGAGCGGATACAAGTCAATGAATCCTTCCACCAGGCAATGCAGGACACCGCGGATCTAAGGGAAGCCGCTAAGAGAGCTTGCGCCTCACAGCCGAGGGATCGTCGCAAAGCACAACACCAAACCATCTCGTGCCGGAACGAGAAACTTCTTGACCAGAGGCACAAGATGTTGGCCGCAGGCAAACTCAGATGTTTCGCTGCCCTGACACAGATGTTCCGCAGCAGCCGCAGAGAAGACAGAAGGCAGCATGTATTGAGCACTTTGCGCGAGGAGCTAGATTTTCGCGACAGATGGATGGGAATCGGTAGTCTTAAGAAGGATCACCAACCACAGCCGTGCCATGTGAAAAAGAAGGACGGCACACCTATACCTCGGCACCAAATGGCGGAATAAATGGCGAAACACTGGGCGACGGAGCAGTGGGGGCGCCAACCAGCCGAGAACGAAGTACTTGGCGAGGCATCAACTGTCGCAGCGCGGGTCCAAGTAGACCTAAGGCCGCTACGTAAGGAGGAGCTAACATTAACCATGAGAAAATTGAAGCGCCGTAAAGCCCCGGGACCCGATGACTTACCTACCGAGGTATACAAGGAACTCACAGAGCAGACCCTTGACCCAATACGAGCACTGCTCAACGATCGGTGGGACACTGAACACATCCCTCCAGATGTGTTGGAAGCTCGCGTAATTGTGATATGCAAAAAAAGGAGACACGAGCAATCTGGCCAACTACAGACCGATATCTTTCTTGAATACCATTTACAACATATGCGCGTCGCTAATACAAAAACGGTTGGCGACTGGTCTGGAGGCGCATATGCAGCGGGCCCAGTTCGGATATCGAGCAAAACGATCAACCTCCGCAGCCATACATTGCGTGCGCAGGGCCGCTGAAGAGGCAGAAATCACGGGCCAACAGGTCTCTCTGGTACTTCTAGACAGGGAGAAACCTTTTGATAAACTTACCCGGAAAGGTTTGTTTTCGGCGTTGCAGAGGATGGGGGTGCCGGACAAGTTGCAAACTATCATCAAAACACTGTACCAAGATCCCAAAATCAAAGTTGAATGCGACGGTCAGACATCCGATTGGTATTCACAGGAGTCCGGAATTCGACAGGGTTGCCCCTTATCGCCATATTTGTTTTTGGTAGCCATGACTGTCATGTTCCATGACGTTCACCAGTCAGTGGATAATCTCATAGTGGGCCACAGGGCACAGGGAACGAATTTCGATGAAATCTCATACGCAGACGACACGATCGTTGTCTCTAGGGACACCAGGGCAATAAACAGGCTTCTGGCAGCAATCGAGCACGAAGGAACCCGATATGGAATGAAGCTAAACAAGGGAAAATGTGAGGTTGTCGCAGCACACGGACATCCTAACATACATTTTGTTGATGGCACGAGTGTTAAACGGATGGGCGAGGCAAAATACCTGGTGTGCCGCTTGAGCGAAGAATGCGACAGCACGCGGGAGGTACAAGCTATAATTGGAGCGTGCATGGCAACGCTCAAGAACATTGATTTGTTCTGGAGGCACAGCAGTTGCCCTGCCAAGTTCAAAACTGCAAGGGCAAGACGCAGTCATCAAATCGAAACTACTGTATGGCCTCGAATCAGCCCAGCTCACTCAAGGCACATTGAATCGACTCGACGCCTTTCAGCTCAAAGGACTCAGGAAAATTCTGAACATGCAAACAACATATGGTGATAGAGCCAACACGAATGAAAAAGTGTACGAAGCGGCCGAAAACGCGCTTCGACGAGAACAGAGACCTATCGTCAAGTTCAGTGCAGCGTACGCCAGGAACAAACTGCTACTCTACCAAACCATCGTACAGGCTGAACCCAACCACCCGGCGCATGGGATTACGTTCGATCCTGTCACATTGCAACCCAGACAGTGGACACGCCGGAGGGTAGGCCGTCCCGGCTAAATTGGGCGGGGCGGACAACAGCAACATATTGGAAAGCTATCCGGAACTCGCTGCCGCCAGCACTCCGCTTCGAAGTGTCGATGCCACGGACCCCCTTCACACGCAAGCTATCCGTAATGCCGCCCAGAGACAGCTTATTACTTGATCGTCGTCTTCACCCCGTTGTCTTTGGTCCTTTCTCCCCCCTTTGCTTCCCCCCTCCCTCCCCCCCTTTCCTCCCCCCCCTCGCCAAGTCGGTGTTCGAAGGGAAAGAACGATACGCTCATCAGCACTCTCCGCCACGCATGTGCCGTGGCAGCGACACCGTTGGGCGCGGAAGCGCGGTGTTCGCGCAGCGCACCAACAATATATATATATATATATGTGCATATTTATGTATGCGTGTATGTGTATGTATGTTTGTATGTCTATGAAAATATACATATGTATATATATATATGTATATATATATAGGTATGTATGCATGCATGTATGTATGTATGTATATATGTGTATGTGTATGTGTATGGGTATGTGTATGTATATGTATATGTATATTACATGTAAATGTATATGTAGATGTATGCATGTATGCATGTATGCATGTGTGCATGTATGTATGTATGCATGTATGTGTGCATGTATGTGTGTATGTGTATGTACGTATGTATATATCTGCATGTATGCATGCACCTATGTATATATGTATGCATGTATGCATGCACGCATGCATACATGTATATGTATATGTATGTATGTGTATGCATATGTACGTATATGTATGTATATGTATGCATGTATGCATGTATGCATGTATGTATGTGTGCATGCATGCATGCATGTATGTATGTATGTATGAATGTATGTGTGTGGATGGATGGATGGATGGATGGATGGATGGATGAATGGATGGATGGATGGATGTATGTATGTGTATATGTATGTATGCATGTATGTATGTATGTATGTGTGTATGTATGCATGCATGCATGTATGTATGTATGTATGTATGTATGTATATGTATATATATATATGTGTGTATACATGTGTATGCGGTATGGGGGTACTCCAGGAGGGGCTGGATCGCTGGCGCTGTTTCGCACGGCGGTCCCGGCTTCTACTTGGGAGTTGCAAGGGCCTCAAGATGTCCGTAACTATTGTGGTTCAACATCAGCCCTGACCTCATACCACGTGCACATCCGCTTCACAGCTAGCTTCTAGTACTTTGCTTGCGCAGGCAGCTCTTTCAGTTTGGCAGGACGGGAGCCCAGAGAGCGCCCTGGACCGCGTGTCTGGTTGGGATCGTCGTCCGCGGCGTACCAACTGCACCAGCATCGGGAGAGGCATAGAAGCATGCCAAAGCTGCGGGTGTGTTTTCGAGGAGCATCCAGTTAAGAGGCCAACGTCATGAGGATCTTGCTCCTAGCTAGGTTTACGGTGACCGTGTTGTGTCACACAGATGGCGTGCGCGTTTTCTTGCAGTCCCCTGGGGTGGGTGCCCTCGGGCGCCAGGGCACACGCTGGTCGTTCAGGGTTGGTTCTCTTCTCGAGTATGGAATGGTTGCTCTTACAGTGCGACAGAGTATACTTATAAAGGAGATCCCTGGCCCAGGGCCCCGGGCCGGCTCCTCCCTTGCATTTCGGTGCCCCCTCTCTTCGGTGACCTCCCCTGGCGACCCCTGGAGGTCCCAGAAAGCCCGATAGTCTTCCAAGACCACCCAAGATAGCCTCCGTAGCCATTTTGTCTCAAGCCATTTGGCTCAAGCCGCTTTGGCTCGACGCAGGACCGACACCCATAATACATATCAGGTCGACAGTCCAGGACCTGCACCTTCCTTCTCGCAACTAAAGACAACATGGTCGGGGCAAGCTTCCCAGTTCTTCCGGCTTGGTTCTTCTACATCTACCACATCATCGGTGGTATTATCATTGGGCGTGCGGTCACATTTTGTCCACACCCGATCGCAGTCCTGGCTGTGGTCTTTGGTATCCAGGTATCCAGGGTCTGATCGACCATTATGCGGACAAGTTCCCCGCAGTTGCAAAGGTGAACGCGCCATTGACATTGGTGTTGGTGGTGCTCCTCGGCTATTGGTTGTACACTCTGTTCGCCATAAGCGCAGCACCGCATTGGGTTCTTTGGGCCGCCATCGCCATCTACTGTGCCTTTGTGGGTCTCACAAAGACTATGGAGCTTGGATTTCCGAAGGACACAGCGGAAGAGCAGATTTCAGCCCTCAAGGACCCCAGCTACAACTTCTGGCATTTTTGGCTCCACAACTTCTTCACGGCTTTTTTCCTCTTCCTATCGGCCACTTGCCCAGGCGTCTTTCCGAAAGATGCATTGATTGACTTTGGCGGGACGGCTCTTGCAGAGGTGCGCGAAAAAGACACGGAGTTCTCCCCGGCACAGATTATCGTGTTGCTCGGTGTATGCCTTGTGTCCTTTGTCGTGGGCATCGGGATTGGAGGCCGATGGTTCCCTCGACGTGACGTCACACAAGTTGATATCACTTCTTTTCTTGCAGCGTGATACAAGTACCACGGCTTTGTTCGCGCCAGTACCGATCAGAGATCGACCAATAGCACCACAAGAGCCTAATGGCGTCATGCCAGGCAGATGCATTATGTCTGCTTTGCGCGCGATTTGGCTCGCTGTTGGGCGCCGTGCGCACTACCGACAGCTTCATAAGCTGCGCGCTAAACATAGAACTGAATGGTTGCCTTTACCCGGGAGTAGAAGAAACAAGCAAAACACACAGTATAGCCTGCGACTAGTCCACAAGGCCCCCCAAAGCGCCCCACGAGAGCTCCAGGAGGCAACTAAGAGCCCCAGGACGGCCCAAGAAGGGCCCAAGACGGCCCAGGAGGCCCCAATATGGCCCAAATGCCCCAGGAAAGGCCCAAGAGGGGTCCCAGAGCGGGAGAACCACGTTCAAATTTCGAGCCTTGGCCCCAGGAGGCCCCCAGGAGGCCCCAGGAGGCTCCCAAGGTGCCCCGAGGGGCCCCAAGGGGGCTCTCAAGAGGCCTCCAAGAGGCAGAATGCTCCCAGCAAGCCCTCAGGAAACCCCCAAGAGGCCCCTGACGGGCCTCTGAGATACTTCCTGAGAAACCTCAGTATACATCTGTGAGAGGCCTCTGGCCCACAACCTGGGCCCGTTTCTAGGGCGCCGCCTGATCGGCACAGGTGTGTGCGCGTGTGCGTGTGCGTGTGCGTGTGCGTGTGCGTGTGCGTGTGCGTGTGCGTGTGCGTGTGCGTGTGTGTGTGTGTGTGTGTGTGTGTGTGTGTGTGTGTGTGTGTGTGTACGCACGCATGTATATATGCATGCACGATTGTATGTCTGTGCTCGTGTTTGTCTGCGTACAAGAAAACAGATACATCACCTGGCCTGGCGAAGGGCCTGCCCCTATGCAGCTGCGTGTAACGCAGGGCGCGGCTCTCTCTTCACATACTGCGCGATGCGGGGTAGACTGGATAAAGGGTCGCTGCGGAGCAAGCGCGCGTAGGCACGCCGAGCCCCTTGCGGGGCGCGATCCGCGTGAAGGGGGTGGCCGCCGCCCGAGCGCGCTCACTGAGGCCGTGGAGCTCCTTGTGGAGCGCGATCCGCGTGAAGCGGCGCCGAAATGGGCGTGGGGACGCCATGCGACATTGCCCATGGGTGCCATGGATGGAGAGCCTCATCAGGGGTGTGCCGAGATGTGCGGAGGGACGCCATGGGACCCCTTCTGTTGGAGCCGTCGGTGGAGCTCCCTGTAGGGCGCGATCCGTGTGAGGGGTGTACCGACATGGGCGGGAGCGAGGGCGCCATGCGAACCTTCTCTCTGGGGCCGTAGGTGGAGCTTCCTTTGGGCCACGAAGACCCCTGGGAACATACGGGCGGAGGAGAAGAAGGAGGAGGAGGATGAGGAGGGAGGAGGGGGAGTAGCTGCAAACGGAGGGGAGGAGGAGGAGGAGGAGGAGGAGCAGGACATGGGACAGAAGGAAAGGCGGAGAAGGAGGACGAACAGCAGGAGGACGAGGAGGACGAAGAGGAGTGACAATGGAATAACGAGGTGGAGGGAATGAGGAGGGAGAGCAGGAGCAGGAGCAGGAGCAGGAGCACGGGGAACCTAAGCGCGCGCAAAGCGCGAACGTGTACGTGGTTATGGTATAGATATAGGTGTGTACACACACGCACATCTACATACATAATATATATTTACACACATATGTCCGGCCTCCAGGTCCCCGGGCTTACCCCCTCCCTTTTTTCGAATCTCCCCCTCGGTACCCATGTGTTCTCCGAGGGTGCCACATGGGGACGATTTCTCTACTATGTTTGAACATTTTTGGTGTGTTTTTTGAGTATTTTGATTGTTTCGTCCAACGTCCTCCTGTAGGGGGACAGGCCCGACCCAGCCAAAGGATGGCATATTGCGAAATGCCCAGTTGATCTGCGTACCCGAACGACTGACAGGAGAGTCCCCACAGGAAGCGAGCCTTCGCAGAGCAGAGTGCCCTCTGGGTCACCCGCGGGGGGTGCGAAGACAATCGCGCCTCGCGCGTCGTGGTCGGGGTCGAGGCGGTTGCCTTCCCTGCCCAGAGGGACGGCGCGAGGGCGCAAGGCCTCGAGGGCGCGAGGATGGCCGCTGTCCTCGTGTCGCGGGGCGGGGTGCGCGAATTCAGGACCCAGGTCCTTGGGCGAAGGTCGGGTTGACCCAAAAGGGGGTCCAGCGACAAGAGGGTTGTGTGCAACAGATTTGGTGCAACAGATTTGTGGGGTTGCAATACATTTGGGGCGTGCAGTGCGTTCCAGGGCGCAAATGTATTGCTGGACTTTCGCGTGCAATGCATTACCTGCAATGCAATGCAATATAATTCTCTGGCGCAATACAACTGCAATCCAATTCCCCAAATCTATTGCACCACCCCCTTTCAGTTGGACCCCCTTTTGGGTCACCCAAAGAAGGACCATTCGAGGCAGGCGTCTAAGATTACCGACTAGCCTGAAACCACCCGCGTCCGTCCGGACAGACATGCCCATGTGGCCTCTTGGTCCTACTAGGAAACTCCTGTCTTCCTGCTGATGACGTCATTCTCTGGCTCACCTCCAGGGGCTTGAAGATAGTCGCGCTTCGCGCGTCGCGGCCTGGGATGGAGAGGTGCCATTCTCCAGGGCGGCGGTGCGAGGCCAAGAAGATAATCGCGCATCGCGCATCGCGTGGCGCGATGCGCCAAGTTTGGCGACCTAGGGGGCAGTGGAGGAGGAGGAGGAGGGTGAGGAGCAGTGTTAACCTAAGACGCACCAACGTTGTTGCAGCATACCCTCTTTTCAAGTTCCCTTTACAAATGTACTTAAACCATGTATTTTCATTGCGGGACGTGGCCCATCAGAAGACGACCGTTCGAAAATCTGCAACGGGCCACAATCGCAATTTCTGGGACTTCAGGTCCGAGGATCAACGTGACTGCTCCGTTCTGACAGTGCGAAATCGTGCCTGAATGTCATTCTGGGGACTTCATCGCCGCGGATCAACGTGACTATTCGGTCTTGACTATCCTAAGTCGTGCCAGAGCACAATTTCTAAGACCTTCGACCTTACGAACATATGACATGTTGGGAGTGTAAAACGAACATGCGTGGTGCTAATGCGAGAAAGACATTTTGAAGCCCTCCATCAGTGAAACTGTTGCAGAATCCTTCACGTATCGCGTCTCCCCGCCAGCCGAATTTGAAACCCTGTTCATGATAGCTGACAGGAAATGTGACAAAGAGACATGTAGTGACACAAAGAAGGCAACCAGGGCGAACAGAGAAATCTGGGAGCAAGCAGGTTGGAGGACTCCTTCGTACCCGCGTGGGGGCGAGGGAAGGAGGAGGAGGAGGAGGAGAAGGAGGAGGAGAAGGAGGAGGAGGAGGAGGAAGAGGACGACGATGATGACGACTACGACGAGGAAGAGGAGGAACATAACGAGTAAGACGATAGAGGCCAAAGACGAGCCTCCTTTGGAGGGTCTTGGAGCCCTCTTGGGGCCCTCATGGAGCCCTCGCGGGGGTCCCTTGGGAGCCCTGTAGGGCCTCTTGGGGCCATCTTGGAGGCCATCGGTCAAAGGAGGGGGGGAGCAGTTTCCGTCCCCTCCCCTGGGGCTCTCAAACTCGTCCTTTGAGGCGCTCGTCGGCCGCTCTTGGGCGCTCCAGGGGCCGTGCGGGGGGGGGGCGGGGCTCTTGCGAGCACTTCGAATCGTCTTGTGGCCCTCGTCTAGCCTCTGGGAAGTATGTCCGGAGTTATCTTGAACCATCGTCGACTATCTTGGAGCCATCTTGGAGGTCATCCTGGGCCATCTTGTGCCCTCTTGGGGCCATTTTGGGCCGTTTTGGGCGCTCTACCTCTTAGCCCCCGCCCCCCCCCCTATCCCGACCCAGGGAGGGTGGGAGGTAGACCTCCCCGAAGGGAAGAGGGTATTTTGATTACTTATAACACATCGCTAGACCACCTCAGCCCCAAGGACTTGCGGGATGTTTAAGACGCATGTGAGCGGCGCTAAGGCGAGAACAACATGTTGAACACGATCCGCCCTCAACTGTGAAGCTGTGGAACATCTTTTAAGGCTAATGTGTACGGCGCTCAGGCGGGAGCCACATTCTGAAAACGACCCGCCCTCCATCTGTGAGACTGTTGGAGGCGGTTCAGACGGATGTGCGGGGCGCCAAGGCGAGAGCCACATTTGGAAGACGGCACGCCCTCCATTCATGAAGCTGGTGCAAATACCACGATTCAGGATCATACATGGCGAGGACGTCTCAGGCGAAACTCCTGGCCCACACTGGCGACACGTTTGGGGGTGCGACAGGGAGGAGTTACTTGTAAGGAAAGGGATGGAGGAGGAGGATGAGGGTGAGGAGGGGAAATTGTCAGGGGAGCCTGGAGGAGGGCACGAGGTTTTTGTAACGCCAGTTGCGGGCGGGCGGGGGGAGGGCAGATGCCGCCGCCCAAAGTGGCCAGCCAGATTGACGCTCGGACGATCATTTGGCGAAGCGTGACGACCGCGAACAGACTCTGGGAGGCTTCGTGGATGAAGATCACTCTTTACCAAACCACCTGAACCCAACCTGAAGGTCCAAGACCCTCCCAATTTCGGGGTTGGGGGCTTGTGCGGGCCCCATCGAGTCTCCACAGTGTTCTGGAGTGCCCCTCCGGGAAGTGACGATCCCAACGGTGACTCTAGGGGGTTTGCTTGGGGTGGTTTGGCAGGTGGTCAGAAGAAGAAGGCATCGTAAATAGTGTCGGGCTCCAGAGGGGTTAACTACAGTCAACCCGCATAGTAAGGATGGGCAACCTTCCCAAGGGTGCCCTTGCATCCCTGCCTCCTCGGTCCATCCTCGGCCGCTTCCGTTGGCCGCGCCCCGATCGGGAAGCTTCGAAGTGGGTGCCCAAGGCCCTTGCATCCTTCCTTATCGCGCATCCTTGCTATACGGGTTGACCGTAGGTC